AAGTGTTTTGTCACGAATCTTTGAGTGACATTTTGTATTTTTCAAATATTAGGTTGTGCAGTGTTATTCTGAATGATATCTGTTTGGAGTACAAATTGATAGGAGAAAAAGTTTTCTTGTGATTAAGTGTTCATATAGAAGTAGTTTTTCCGAAAGTACTGAAAAAAAAATCTCATTGAGTTTTTATTGTAGTTACCTTTGCCTTCCCTTCTTTGGAAATTTTTCACATTTTTTATTAAATGAGGAGTAATAGGCTACCAAAAAGTTTTTCCAAAAAGGAAAAAAAAGGGTATTCCTCATTTGAATCCTACAACTTTCTTCTGGTAAGAATACATTACGTCATAATTTAAGTAGAGATATTTTTCTAGTTACCAAAAGAATAATAAAGAAATTGAAAATACTTACTTGAAACGTCAACCAATTCAATTGTATTCGTGTTTTCAACAAAGTACCAATGGTTACACCATGTTCACCTTGTACTGAAATTTCCAGAATAGAGATGATAATCACTTGATGATTCATCACTGGCAATTTTGATATGAAAATTAACAGTTCTTCTTCACGGAATTATATAACTCTGAAATAAATCATCAAGAAGTAATTATGTTAAAATCATTTATGTTAATCCATCCTGAAAATTGGAAAATAAAACTTCCCATGTTTTATAGCACTTGTATTTGTAACTTACGTCACTGCAGTTTCGTTCTATACAGACATTTTCAAACGTTAGTTACAAATATAAGTGCTTTAGAAACATAGGAAGTTTAATTTCTCAATTTTCATGATGATTTCCGACTACGTAGTTAACGGCTACATCCATCAATTAAGTAAACCCATCCAATTTAGTAGATCTAACGTTGAAAAAATTATTCGATATTGAAGAAGATATTCTAAGTGGATGTTGAGTGTAATAAATATGACGATAATTGTGTTACTATGTTCAACTATTATTTTACTTTTATCAAATTTCCTTTCGTGATCAATCAAATTGACAAACAATCATTTATGTTAATAATTGAAATATAAATGAATATTACCGGTTTTGATATTGACCTTGCAGTAGGTGTGTTGCAGAAAAAGAATATTTATTAACAATGAAGTATGAGAATTATGAAAAATGGGATATGATAGTCTGTTTTATACAAATGAAGGAAAATGCAGAAATAACAAGCAATCTGTATCACGAGAGGTATCCAGAGAGAAAACAACCTCATAGAGACATTTTCGCAAAATTGCAATAAAACCTAATTAGCGATGGTCAATTTGAAAAAAAAATGACAAGATTATATGAATCAAATAGGGATAAGAAGTTGGAAGAAATAGTCGTTTCATTTAAAAAAAAGTTTTTCACACCATTGAATTCTACGTAAAAAAGTGTATTTGGCTTCAGGAGAGAACACTCCACTGAGTTGCAGGCTCTAAGGCTGGTCGAAAACACCATCCATGAGCTCAATAGCAATAAAAAAGTACATATTGTGCTATTAGCCATCTCGAAGGCCTTCGACCGTGTTTGGCACGAAGGCCTTCTGTACAAATTGAACGTGTTCGACCTGCTTCGGGGCCTGATCCGGTGGATTGGATCTTTCCTTTCTTTTAGGTTAGAGTAGAGGGCTCTCTGTCTGATAACAGAGAGATCCTCGCTGAAGTGCCACAGGGGACTGTGTTCTCTCTGACGCTGTATTCTCTTTTCACCAGTCCTCCCAAGGCCCGAGCGTGTGAAGATATCCCTCTACGCCGATGACACGGCTCTTCTCTCATCTTCCATGGTTTAGGAGCTCGACGTCGTTACATGCAACGTGCATTGAGCGACCTCGAGCACTGGTACCTTGATTGGAAGATTTAAGAGAACCCGGACAAGACTCTGGCGATAACCATGGGAAGATTGCTATCTTCTCCGGCCAGAAAAGTGAGAATCTCTGGAAGGGAGATTGACTGGCAAGCCCGGGTAAAGTACATCGGCCTTTTGACAGACAGTAGGCTCACTTGGAACCCGCACATTATGTACGTCAAATCTAGGATCGAGGATCAGATTGCAAGTCTGCACCCTCTGATCAACAGAAAGTCAAAAATGAGCTTGAAAAACAAGATTATCATCTACAACACGATGTTCAAGCCTATCGTCATGTATGCTTCAGGCGTCTGGAGACAAGCGGCGAAATATAATATCTCCATTCTGTAGGTACTGCAAAATAAACTAATGAGGATGATTGTGAATACTCCTTTGTTCATGTGGAATGAAGCCATATGCAGAGATTTGCAGCTGCCTTCCATTCGGCAGTCCATTCAGTCGAGGAATCGGCGAGTTTTCGAAGGTGCGGAAACTCACGAAAATCCGTTAGTTAGGGAAGCTATAGACTATGCTGTAGACGACCCCTCCCAATATAGAAGGCTCCGACACTCTGTCGAATGAGGCCCTCATGTCCCCCGTTAACGGACGAATAGCTTTTTCATCCATCCCACCCCAGCCAGGTAGGGGTACCACATGAAGGGCGGTACTGATGTCTGGGGACTTTATACCGCCATCCCCTCAGTCATGAACTCATTGGTCCTTCTCGACAATAACCAGCTGAAAGGGTAAGGGAGCTGGACTCCGACCTGATTGAACTGAAGATGATTTTCCACGAACTTTAGTTCAGTTCTACTTGAGTTACCGAGGTGATAACTTCGACGAGCGATATCCTAGCGAACTGCTAGTGCCGTCAATTTGCTTTGTGACTTTGTGTGCATCTTGAGTGCTTACTAATTATATTTTGTATACGGAAGTTCAAGAGGTATTTACAAGTTTTGCCTTGCTATGGTCAAATTTAGTTGAAGTATGCACAGATGGTGCATACTCCACCGCAAATGCATTAAATGTTCAAAAAGATGGTTTGATAGTCCTTCACTGCATTATCCACCAACAGAACTTGTGTTCTGAGTCCATTCGACTCCAGAATGTAATGAATGTGGTAGTAGAAACCATCAATTTTATTCGATCCCGAGGGCTTAATCATCGTCAATTCAAGCCATTTTGGATGAAATATCAGCCGAATATGACGACGTAACATATTATCCTGAAGTCAGATGGCTAAGCAATGGGAAAATGCTGAAATGGTTTTACGAGCTTATAAATGAGATAAAAGACTTTATGCAAATAAAAGATAAATCACTTTTTGAATTGAGTGACCCAAAATGGATATGTGACTTAGCATTTCTGGTCGACCTTACTGGCTATTTGAATGATTTAAATTTTAAACTTCAAAAACAAGGACAGTTTGTTAATGATTTGTACAGCCATTTGAAAGCGTTTCAGAATAAAATCCGCTTGTGGGAGGTACAGATGCTGTCTGGAAACAGTTACCATTTCATCACGCTCTCTGCGTGTGAGAATATTGCTTATGCTCAATATGCTGAAGAACAAAAGGTACTGTCGAAGCAATTTTCGAACAGATTTAGCGATTTCAGAAACATAGAAGACTGTTTCAATTCATTTGCTACAAAAAGTAATGTACAAAATGCTTCAATGCACTTGCAAATGGAGTTGATCGAGATTCAAGAAAACTTAGTTCTAAAATCTAAATTTGAAGATGTGGAGTTCTGTGATTTCTACAAAAAATACCTCGAAGAAGACCATTTTCCGCAGCTTAGAAAATTAACAAGAAGATTGAAGAATTGTGCGTTTGGCAGTACTTATAAATGCGAACTGTTCTTTTCACTGATGAAAGTAAATAGAAATATCGTACAAGGCCGACTGATATAATTTGGAAAATTCTTTACGTCTTTGTATCAGTGGAATTATTCCAAACATCGATGGATTACTTTCCCAAGTTCAAGCTCAAGTATCTCATTGATTTCGGTATCGCTATTTAACTTTCGTAGTTTGTAACAATTCCAGATTCAACGATTTAATCATGATGTTATTATTTCATTTTGTTATTTTAATAAATTGATATTATAATAACATTGTCGTATTATTTCACATCTGATATCTATCGCAAAAAATTATGAGCACTGTAACACTACTTAAAAAGGTACTACTTTTAAACGCGGCCCGCGAACGTATTTGCACACTAAAGTTCGGCCCACAACATGTCAAAGGTTGTCCACCTCTGATTTATAGGGAGAAGGAGATGCTTCGAAAATATATAATCAGATAACGGTTCAAACTTCAAGGGGGTAGATAAAGAATTGAAACGGGCTCTGAAAGAATTCAAAACAGAAAAGATAATGACAGAGATAGCATCTGAAGGAATTGAGTAGCTGTTCGTTCATCCAGGTACACCATACATGGGTGGTTGTTGGGAGCGTTTGGTGCGATCACTAAAAATAGCTCTGAAAGCGATCTTCAAAGAAGAATGGTTACATTGTTGATTCACGACCACTCGCACATATCTCCATTGATCAGCAAGATGAAGAAGCTTCAACTCATAACTATGTCTTGATCGGTACCTCTAGTTCTAACTGCCTATTCAGTTCAATTTATCAAGATCGTTTAGTCACCCGAGAGTAGTGGAAAATTTCCCAAAAACTTGCGTAGATTGGTAAGAGAGTATCTGGTATTTATAGCCGATCCTTAGTAAAACTATGCATTCCATAAAAATTAACATGAATAAAATGAAAAGTAATGGAGCGAGTTCCATTACTGGGGAAATGTTGGAGAAGAAAAATATTTCTTATTATTAGCATTTTTCGTTTCATTCATACGGAAATAGCTTTTTCTTTCAGTTTGTGTCTGATGAAAATAACATATTTGCATATTCTACACGACTTTGTAGATAGTTCATTATGAAATGAATTGCTTTTTCCTTTCCTTCGGACGATTACCACATATTTTTGTATAAAGATGTAGAAGTAGAAAGTCAAATCTATTTTAACGTTCTTTTTGTTCAAGAAAGTTGTGATTTTCCAAAAGCAAGGGAGAGACAAATCAAAAAGATGGGATCAGCACTAAAGAAGTCAAAAATAAATATAAGTTATAAGTACGTATATAGGTAATAAAACTTGAGTTATTTTTATGTAGTAACTTGTTTTAACGATTTTTTTATTCAAAATTCTAAAGCTCTTCGGATGTGAACACACTGTAAATATCAAATTATGAAACAAATATTCAGCCAAGTCCGCCTCCGGCCAAGGAAGCTATTGCCGAAGAGGAAATGGGTGCTGGAGGTGGAAAAAATGTAAACTCTTCAACTTCTGCAACCCCTTCGGTTGTAGTCGTTTCGAGTATATTTGAAGGAGAATTGTTGACCATTTCTGCTTTCTTCACTTGTGCTCCATGCTGTATAGTTTTTGACACTGGTATCAACTGAATTCGTGGTTTATAACCTCTTTCATCCGCCTCATACCATACTTTGAATAGTCTTCCGTCAGTGAACATATATGAATAGGATACAGTTAATCGGGAAATCAGGTTATCTCCAAGTTTCTCAAACTTTCCAGTTTCTTGTCTCTCTTGTCCATCATTCGTAGTATACCTGAGAAAATGAGAAAACTTATCTTTCATGTTATCTTGTTACTGTAGTCGAAAAGTTTAATGTGGTATACTTAATCGAGTGCGACCAGAATTACCCAATATGAACTGAGTGCAACTGGTTCCAATCCAGTTTTTCAGTCATGAATTGAACATCAGAAATTACTCACTGAATATGCTCTGAAATACATACATACATACATTGAAACGTAACATTTTCAACGATGGTTGAAAATGTTACGTTTCAACATCAATGAAAAATGTGCAAATAACTCGAATTCGACAAATATACAATTTCTGTTTACTTATGAAAATCTATGCTTCAACATCTCTGTTTTTGTGTTACAGGCATATCTATAAAATCAAAAGATTCAAACTCCTATTGTGATCTTGATGATTTTTTTTGTACAATAAGAAAATATTTCAATAATGTCTTCACCCGAAGACCCTACGGTATATATAGGGTATATAGGGTAGATACGCGCGTACAACCATCTGAGCCTTCTCCTCGTTCTGAGCCGTAGTCCTCTTCAGTTTCATGGATTTGTTGATATCGGGTACACTGAACTTGATATGCTCGGATGTTGATGAAAAGGTTCAGAGGGCCCCTTCATGTATCCAGATGACGAAAGTGCCATCCACTAACTTAGCAACAAGGTCGATTTTGATTCATGGTGCTAGACTAACCCACAAAATGTACCGTGAACCCACGCACACAGATAGGTACTTGCAAGCACTATCGAACCACCATTCTAGTCAAAAGAGAGGACTCATCTCCATTCTAACAGACCGAGCTCATAGAATATGTTAACCAGAGCATCGAGAGGAAGAACTGAAATATCTTCAAGTGACCTTGAGATCGATTGGATACATCGTACTCGAGATCAACAAAGCCATGAATCTGAAGAGTGCTACGACTCAGAACGAGGAAGATGCTCAGATGGTTGCACGCGCATATCTACCCTATATCCCTAGGGTCACGGACAGAATTGGAAAACTCTCATGGAAACACAACATTGATACGGTTTTCAAACCCAACAAGAAGATACAATGAAGCCTCAGGTCGCCTGAAGACAAAAGGGACACTTGTTTGTGGTAAAGTATACATCGGAACCACCGAAAGATTCATGGGAACGAGTTTGGAGGAGCATGAGAGAAACTGCAGACTGAACCAAACGGACAAGTCGTCTATGGCAGAACACGCACCCAGTGAAGGAAATCACAGGATTCTGTTTGAAAACACGGACCTCATTGCTCTGGACCAGGGATACCGTAGCCAACTGGTACGGGAGGCGATAGAAATCCATAAACATACGGACAATTTCAACAGAAAAGAAGAAGCTTTGAACCTCAATCGAATATGTAATCCCATTTTAAGGAGTTTCAGAAAAAGGTCAAAAGATGTTATTGACAATTGACCTAATCCCGATACAGGTATTATCACACCAAACTACCTGAATCAACAGAAACATGCTTTACGAAATTTACCTGAGCCAGGTATAGGTATAAGCACACTAAACTACCTGAGGAGTCAGCAGGAATACGCGTTACGCAGCCGTAATGTTCAGTCATCGGAGATATCAACTCAAGATGTATAAACATCTGAAGAAACTAGCCACTCGCGCCATCGAAGCGTCAGGAAGGAATTCAAACTATCCACGGCCTTCAAACCCGAAGAATATTAACACTGTTCATTGAAGTTCCAACTCACATCATAATAGAATCATTAGTAAATGACTTATTTAAAAAAGTTGACTTTAAACTGTGTAAAAAATGACAGTATTTTTATTTTCCGCGAGAATTTGAAAGTTCATTCAATTAGAGATGCATTGATTTTGCTACGTAACATAACTGAAGAGACTGCAAATAGCAATGTTGCTTCCTATGCGGTTAATGAGCATAGTAGTCGATAACTTCATCACCAATGATTTTATTTTTGAATTATTGGTCCGTGTTATTCCAGATGTGTATTAATGTAGTTGAAATGGATAACCATTATTTTCATAAATTTGAAGATTCTGACACTGCTGCCTGTTTTAATTTTTGGATTAGCAATGCGTTGTTTTCAGCGGAGAGATATTTTGTTCGAATATGAAACCAAGCATCACTTTGAAACCCAACAAAAAATTATTCAGCTGAATCTCTTAATGAACTCATAGTATCTTTCAAATCTCCCCAATTGTTACCAATTGAAAAAAAAACTGTGAGTAGTTTAAATTTAAAAAAAACATCATCATAACTTTTCAACACAAAAATGTATGCATAGTGTTGATGATATTTGTATTTTCAATCGTATTCTGTGTTTTGTATGTTGATTGTTTCCATGAATTTATCGTCTAATAGTAATGAGTACTTTCTGACCATTCCTATACAATGTAAATATTAAATCGGAACATAAAGAATTGAATTGTCATTTAGTTTTTATCGAACCTGAAATCTCAAATAACCAACAGCACTTTTCGAAAAATGATCTGCTGAAGGTGAGAAACGGCATTTTATCGATTGATAGCGTTATGCCGTCACTTGTGGTGGTGACGCACGAGAAAATCTACCAGAAGTGGGGCGTGATTTGCCAAACATTTTTGTTCAAATCGCATAAATTTGCGTGCTGATTACTATTGGGAACTCTTTTAACCAGAAGCCTTACAAAGAAAATCAATAGGAAAATTGACAAGGTGATAAATTTCTGTAAGTTTTCAATAATGTGCCTCCAAGGAGAATGCGCTTTTCTGTTACATTTAATATCCCTGTTTTTCATAGAACTACTAGAGCTCAACTTACAACCATTTGTCGACTAGCAAATTATTATAACACACTCATTTATTTGGATTGGTCAGTAACTCAAAATATGATAGGAAACATTATAATCAAACAAATTATTAATTTATCATCTTGATGCTAACTCATAGGTAATTATTACTGAAATAAATGTTTTTATTTCTCAAACTGGGCTGTTGTTTAAATAATACTTTTTGTCATATGGTGGAGCTTTCGTGAATGTTTATTCCCTTTATCAAGACATAAACTTGAAGTTATAGTAAAATGTCAGACGTGGCAATGAGAAAAAAAAGTTAATACTTTTCATCATGTAGAAGAGTGTCACACTTTTCTACATGAAAAAGGACGATTTTTTTTTATATCGAAATATGAAAAAATATCGCACTATCAATCATTTGAAAATAAAATTGGTATAGCGTTCTGTATATTACAACCATTGTTCATAGTGAGAAATCGTATTCATGATAATTCAAAATAAAGATATACTTTATTCTCAAGCTGTTCATTTATGGACTGTTCATTGAATCAACAGAAAACATTTAAAATTGCTAACTTACTTGAAGTAGTAACCGTCTTCAGTTTGCTTCTTTATATCCACTAAAGTTTCAACACTTCTACAGTGGTGAATACGAACTGAAATTACTAGAACAGATAGGATAATTATTTGATCCTTCATCTCTGGCAATGTATATTCAAATGCTACAGTTCTTCTTCAATCAACTAATTTATAGTCATTATTCTCACCGTGCTAAATCAGTAACTAATGATTATTTTTTCATTATTCATACACATTTGTCTATTTTTCGGTGCAAATGATATATGGAGAACTTCAAAGATTATATTGTACTAATTACTGATGAAGGACGTCAGCTCAATCCTGCATGCGTAACATACAGTATGTTAATAATAAGCGATCTGCAAAATAATTGGATTCATTAAAAACCGCCAAGCCGATGGAGGACTCCTCACAAAGTTGCAGTTATACAGAAGAGGATTTTTATAATGATTGTGTTTCAGAAAACAATTTTCGAAACTCCGAAGCGATAAGGGTGTTGAAGAGATGATTGTTTCAATCTGATAAGTGGTGCCTTAACGAAACTACTCATGGTGTGGTTTTGTATAATGAATCGTGTAAATCAAGATTGTTGACGCCATCTGTATATCTACAAAAAACTCCTGCTTAGAAATAAAGACAGAAATCCCTCTCTGTTGGACGCGTTAAATTGGAAGGGTATATTTTTAGGAGGGATTAATTTTCGGAAGAGAAATATTTTGGCTTTCTACTTCTCCATCTTGATACAAAATATGTGGGAATCTTCCAAAGAAAGGTTCATGCAAATAAGCAACTTTCAGGCACAAACTGGAAGAAAAAACCCTTTCGAAACAGTTACTTTTATTTAAACATTGAATTACACGAAAGAAAAATACTTTCGAAACGAATTCTTCCATATGAACGCTGAATTATACGGAAAACATTCTTTCTTTTCCGTTTGTATTCCAAACTTTCGTAATGGAATTGAATCAGATATCATTCATAAAATTCCTACACGATAAAATTAATGAAAGAAGCAAATTTCATTCACATGGAACACTGTCATCCTCACTGGTAGACATCTTGATGACACTTGCCTTGTTGGCTCTTCAGTACCAAATACAGATAACATTATAAGAAAAAAAAACACATGTCCATTCAATGAGCCAACGAAGTATTTTTTATAGTGTTTGCATTTTCCATCAGTTTATTCCTAAGCTCTGGTAAAATTATGATCATGAATCAGATAGAGGGTCAATTGATTCAAATTTGTATATATTATGTAAGTACTAATTAGGTAGAATTCATTTAGGAGATTAACGAAATTTGGTCAGAGAATTTACCAGTTAGTGTGGTTTATATAGTTTCATTGAAAAATCAAACCCAAAGACTCAAGTAGTTGTGTAAACAACTACTGACTCATCTTCCGTTTCATTGGCAGTGCCCAATATGACTAGGAATTTTTAAGATATATGTTGAAGAGCATGCACGAGGATTCAAATGAAAGGAGAGAAAAGCCCAAACTTATTCTAATAGAGGTTTGACACAAATTTGATCGATGCTGAAGAGGTTCAAGAAACTTGGTCGAGGTACTCAAGGACAGAAAACTCGAACGAGAACGAGACCTTGTCCAACAATTGAAGTCGACCTTGAAATGCACATATTTGTGGTCACGATTCTATTACTTTCGATCCGTTTCGAGACATTTCTCTCGCGATTCCACAAAGTACTGTCCAGCCAAGTGTGTCACAATGTTTTGACTATCTGAACATGGAAGAAACAATAAATGACTTACTGTCGATAACCTTATACTTTTATTTGGCACTAGTACAACGATTCTCACGCTTCATTGAAGTGTCTTGTGTACACTTTGAAAAAGATGCAAATTCAAGATGGCCGCAGCTACAAAATGGCGAATTATTTTTTGACAACTATCTCAATATGGGTATCAAATGACAGGATACTATACCAGTACTATAGTAGTACACTATGAAAAAAATGCAAATCCAATATAATCTATACGAAGATTTTTGTCAACTCAGAATCGGGATACAAACATGGATCTCCCAGCCAAGTGAAGATTTTGTATCGTGTCGAGGACTGTGTGGCATTAGAGTGACTAAAAATGGTACGTCGTTAGCGATATATCACTCAAGTTAAAGTAAAAGGTTGAAACGTACCAAGAACAGTGTGTCGACACAGTATTAACATACTTACTCTGGTTACGCTACGTCCAACGATTTTATTATTTTTTTATCTGATCAGTACCGTAAATCGCTGAGGGAGAAGTATGATGACCGCTACCTATGATGCTCCGAGAATTAATTTTTAGTTTATAGTACATTATCTACATCATTATTATCTTCTTTCTTCTGTAAAATCATTCAACCCATCAGCGCTGAAATTAATTTTTTTTGAATTTCAAATTTTTTTTTCTGGTTTCTCAATGAACTAAGTCTGAACAAAAATGAAAAAAAATGTATTCAATTGGGTTTTTGAGTTATGGCCTGATACCATATGGTATCCGTAGGCGTTAACAGAGAAAATCACTGTTTCAAACAAAATAACTTAGGAAACTTATTCAACATGGTTAGTTGCAAAACAATTGATGCAAAGGCCAACGTTGCATTTTTGACACATTGTCCTTCCGAAAGATTTACATCCGGCTCCAGCACATCTGCGTCTATTACACGAAATTACGAAATGATCTTGTCTGTCAAATCTGTTATCTGGAAGCAAATTTTTACCCATGCTAATACGTCCAGGAACTTTAGCAAGTGTTTTGTATTTAGTTAAATACACATGTACTATTTCACGTCTAAAATTTAAGGACGTTATTTTATTGTTTTTACAGCAGAGGTACCAAGAATTGTGAAGTAATGTAAATAAGCAATGTAAATATAGGCCAATACCACTTTTTGCCGCGTATCCCAATACGATAGGCAGCAATACCTTGATCCATCAAATCAGTACCGCCCATATTTTGGTTGCAAGCAGCCACGCAGTTTGGACGAGAAACCATCATATGTTTTCTCTCCTTTTGGCAGTACCGTCTAACTATTCCTTCTGGCTTAACACCGGCACTTGTTGAAGCTAAAGTTACAACTGAATTATCCATCCAACGAACCAAGAGAACACCATCATTTTTCTCAATAATTTGTTCAAAATCTCCACGTTTTTTTTTTAATTCTTGTTTGCTGGTTAATGGACAAGATTTTGGGATTCGATTTTCTCGAATTGTGCCGGCGGCTCCATAACCCAAATGACGAAGGTAAGACAATAAATTTATTCCAGTGAACAAATTATCAACGCGAAGAACATATGGCAAATTTGGTATTGGTAATTCTTTCAGCAATAAAACCAGCGGTGCGGCACATTTTCCAATTAACCGGCTAATGTCTTTTTGTTCTCGAGGATCAGTGCCTTGGTACAGATCAAAATCTACAAGATATCCATCTTTCGAGTTGAAGGACCACATTTTGTATCCAAATCGTATGGGTTTGCCACGGATGATTTGCTCACATCCGTGGCGACCGTAGTATCTGATCATAGACTCATCGTAAGATAAATTAATTCTGAACTGGTTGAAAATTATTTGAACACTTTTCTTTTATATGGTTCATGAGAGGTCTCAATTTCCAGGCCTTATTGATCTATTTGTGTGTTATCAGCAATATGGATGAATTTTTGAATCTTGAGAAATGTATCTCTCCTCATAGAATCTGCCACCAATTTGTTATGGACGTCATCGTTTATGTCCCAATATAACCTTTTTGATGGCAAATCATTGTAATCACTCAAAATTAGAATAGCGATAAAACAACGTAATTCTGAAGCACTGATCCCAGGATCACCTTCATTTTTGAAATGAGCATAACGTTGCGTTTGCTCAGCGAGATATTGAAAAATTGTTTCGTCAAAGAATAATTCAAATAGCTAAATTAGTGACTTATTTTTATACATGGAAAAATCAGGGTTGGGAAATTCTCGAGACGAAAGTTCAAGATCACCAGAAATCCACCTTGGCAATAATTTTTCAGAAAGCCGTTGGGAAATCCAGTCAACGCATCTTCTGTACAATTCGAAATATTTTTTCCAGTTATTGGCTCCATTGTGCTGGTGGTTTCTTTCACAGTATTCTAAAAAAAAAAACAGGAACACTCTTCCCAATGAATGAAGAATATTTTTACTTACGTTTTCAGCCGTCTTTTCCACTGCACTATCAAGTCTGTCATTATTCAGCAATTTGATTTCAGAAGGAGCACGCAGCTGACGACCTGTGAAGTTCAAACATATTAATGTTTGGCCTGAAACAAAAACAAGATTCCACCATTGAGATTATGTATCATTCCCCCATCATCTTCATCTGCCGAATACTCATCTGTTTCTATATTGGGTTCAGGAGGTTCCACAAAAATTTGATCCACAGTGTGCTGGAGTTCGTCATCTCCCCATATCATATCCAACGCTTCAGAGAGCGAAAAACCTTTTCTGAAACATTAAAAAGTATAATCAAACCAAAAATCGTATGAAACACTCTGTAATCTCAAAACGCCTACGGATACCATATGGTATCATCAACCTTTGAGACGCCATACTGCACTGCTATTAGAACTCATCAACAACATTACTTCAAAAAAGTATTCATTCATTCTTAACCTTCACTACAATATGTACCACGTTTCAAAAAAATAATATAAGTTGAGAAAATATTACTTACGCCCATCGAGGTTCCATCTTCAAATGGCACACAATGTCATGTAATAAAAAAATGCTAATAACACAGTTCAAAACTTCCTATTCCTAGCAAAATCCAAGAGCCGACTGCTCACAGAGTAAAAGAAATGCACGTGCGCGATCGTATACAGGGATGGCTAACGACAGCGAGCAGTTGACGAGAGGCTTGTTTTGCGATCCCAAATGGTATCCGTAGGCGCTAATGGATTAATATTTTTTTACTCATTTTATGGTTTTCTGCAGCTGATAACGGCTTCTCGAATGCTCACCTATTTATTTCATTTCAAGATACACTAGAGCAAGGTTGCACAGACTTATGAAGACTAGGGGCCACTCGGGCAAATCATGAACTGATGGCGGGCCGGCCGCCAGACGTATAGGTAATTAAAGACAATAAAGAATTGATAATAATTTATTAAAATTCAAAAAGAATTTATCAATTTGAAGCGTGGCGCTGCATAGTGCTTACAATCTTTTTTATATTTGGCTCAAATTTACTTGTAGCAACACGTAAAACTGCTTCCAAACTTTCATTTGCAAGGCGGTTTCGATTTTTTGTTTTATTATTATTTAGTATTGAAAAAGTTTGTTCACATATATAGGTAGAACCAAATAAGCTGGCACATTTCAGAGCGTTTATGCGCAACTTTTCGTACATATTTTTATCAATGCAGCGGTAAAAGTTCAGCAAGTCTCCTTCGTTGAATTTGTTGCGTAAATCTTGATCGTTTTGAATGTCGATAATTTCTAACTGCATTGACTCTGGCGCATTTTCAACTGAAATCGTGAAAGGATTGCTGAATATGTCCAACAGAGGTTTCACTTTTTTAAACTCCGAAAATCTGTCTTGAAAAGATTGAATCAAAATATCTAGCTTTTCTACATAACTGAAATTAATCGCAGTTTTGTTGAATTTTTCAGCCATTTTCTTATAATTCGGAAAATGATTGTAATTTCCAGAATTCAATTGTGATCNTAGGTAGGGAAACACTTATTAATAACAGAGTTTTACTTACGATTTCACAACACAATTATACACGGCACTTGACGGGTTAACAGGAAATCTACGTTGAATGTGGATCAAAATATATGACACCGGCTAGTCGAGTTAAAATCTACACTAGAACTATTGCCTCCCCAAAACACTATTAAACTGCACTTATTCTCAATCACTTATTATTTCGCTTTGTATTTTCGCGCTTATTTCTTTCTGTTGACATTTCACTCAAATTAAAAGCGAACTGTCGGTCGCTGAATGAATGAAAATCGTATATTACAAGTTATTTGAAGTTTTTACAATTTTTGTGTGTGTATGTGTTTGTGTAGGGCCCTGCTATAGGCTTATGCCTCTTCAGGTTGAGACGGTCGCTGCGGTTAGCGTGGCTTTTATACCGCGCATGCTACTCTGGAAGCTTCGTGTATCTACTCGTACCTACGCGAGCAATTCGGAATTCGGGAATATTGCTATCTCGCTTGCTCACACCGCGCTAGAAAATTCTTGATTTCTCTATTTCTAATATTTTGAACTTTATATAAAGGCGGCAAGCGATGTTACTTGACTTAGCATTTTTGGGCGCTAGATTCAAATAGCGCGCGCGCGAGATTCAAATTATTTTATTCTATATTCCATAGTAAATATCAGTATACATTTTTCTAAATATCGAAAGAACGTATACGAAATCAATAATTTGAAAAATAACAAACCGATATCTCACTATGAAATAGTTCATAGTAAATAGTGGTGAACGTTCCATAAAATGAATGTATCCATTCCAGATTTCTCTTCGTTCACAATTTCGTTTGTCTTCTTTGGAATTAAATCACGTTCGTGAGTCAACAGCGCTGCAAGAGTTGAAAATTCATTTTTTTTTTGTTGAAATCTATTCATTCTATTGATGAATGAATATTCTTGATCAACAATTGATAAAAAATAAATCCTGTTTTGAAATATCAATAATAATATAAGTTAATGCGTTCTCCTCATTGAACACTGAAATGATTGTATTTCAAGAGGTAATGTGTGGGAATATGGTATTATTTTCATTGCCACCCGTTTTTTCATGAATATGAAAAATATCCACACTATAGGAGTGTTCAAAGGAAAAAGGCTGATAACCAAAACTAATTCTAAAGAAAACAAAAACTGAACAAAAATATTTTTAATGAAGCGAGTTGTCGTTAAATTGTTCGAATTGATATTGATATATGAATACAAAAATGAAAACAGTTCATGATAATAATCACTGCACGGGAAAATATATATTCAACCAAGGCCACCCCCTGCCAACGAAGCAATCGCTCCGGAACTAATCTGTGAAACTATTTCATCAGGTGATGGAAGGCCGATGAAATTTGTTGGTGTTGTCTGTGTCAAGTTCAAAACAGGCTTTGTATTAGTTCCTTCAGGACTCTCATCAGTTGTCAGTGCAGTTAATGAATCTATAGAAGCATTTTTCATCTTGAATTCTTGTTTACTCTTCCCTTCTCCAGTTGTTGGTGTTGATAGTGATTTGATAGACTCGATACGGGGTTTATAACCATCTTCGTCTGCCTGATAGATTACTTTGAACTGATTTCCATCATTGGATATGTAAGAATAGAATCCACTCACTCGTAAAATCAGATTTTCTCCCATTTTTTCAAACTGCCCGTTTTCCTTCCTCTCCTGTCCATCGCTCGTGGAATACCTGTGGAAATTCATTCTCATATTTTATTGTAGATATTCGAAATTTAATGGTATTCTTCAAAATATTCAGAGAGGTAAAGGTAAATAATGAATAAAGAAGAACAGAAAGTGTCAAAAACACAAAAATTATGACTTCACCATAGCAACGGAAGCAATCAAAACTGTATTAGCTAAATACGAACAGATTTATTCGAATGATATTCTGGAACTTGATAATATATAGTTTCACTGCATAGTGGGAACCTGAGTCCATTTGTAGCATCTTCAGTCAAACTGAGGATGCTACTATGTGGTGAATGACAACTTGGAAACCCCCTATCAGTCGAAACAAACTCGGTTGTTGAGCAATAATCGAACCAGCTCCAAATTTTTGTCTATCTTCTGGCTCATTCTTATTCCACTTGTGGCCCGTAGGTCTGGTTTCTCTGAATCCAGAATGGTTATAGCACATTTGCGTTGGCGAATTTTTTATTTCACTGGGATTGCAGCCTCCAAACTATGTCTTCCATTATCGAAATCCATTGATTAGAATGCACACTTTTTGATTCGTTTCTTTTTGAAATTGGTAATAGAAGCCTTCTCCGTCAATATATAAAGGTACAGAAAGTACACAAAGTCTGTAAAATACGGTGGATTATTCTCAACAGGCTTCTTCATCTTATTCTAGATTAATTCTTCTTATCCTCTTGTCTAAATGAATTCCTTCTTGTAATATCTACAGAAGCCCAGAATTTCTGCAGGTGCTCAAAATTTGCGAAATTGTATCAATACCTCTTCTTGAAAAACCTCCTTTCTCGTACAACTCACTCAATTTTTGGAGCATCTGTACGAACTTGTTGACTTCCTCCTGGAACACTATTGTTTCTCCTCTCAACAAAATTTTTCAAAAATTATTGTATTAGTTTCAAGCTCTGATTTATTGAATCCTAACTCTTGCTAAATTATTGTTCTGTCCTACATAATAATGGGCTCAGTGTATTCTGAATAGATATCTAGTCTGAGTGGTCAAATGTATAGTATAGGAGTGTACTTCGTACGAAGAAGACCATAAGCCACTCAACACAAATGTATAGTAGTTATAGAAAAAAGTTTAAACACTCAACACTGAAGTTCGATGAATTCATTCATTTAAAAAAAACTGATCTGAAAGAAATAATTGATTTTGCTTTGTTTCCAATGTGAACGCACATCTGAATTGAAAGTCAACAGTTGATCTTTTTTTTGATAGATTGGGAAAAATTATAATCGTACATGAGCGATTTTTTGTTCCTGATGTCACGAAAACTATAACTTTATTTGGAAATGAAACAAGTGCGGACTTCCACTGCAAAAAAGATGTTTGAAATTCATTGAAGAATAAATAAAACAAGAATGAATTGAATGTAGGAGTCTGAAAATAACTGTAACCAATTATTTGAATGACTTAGTTGAAACGGAAATATCGTAAAATATGAGCAAGAATTGATAGCAAAAATGTTGTAAGAAAGCTAGTCTGTGAGAAAAACAAATTGTTGTGAACCAAATCTGAATTGAATCAATAATGGGTAGAAAAATAACTGAAATTTGAATTATATAAAATCAATAAAAGTTTAAGACAATCAAGATAAATGAAAAAAATACAGAAACAAACAAGTTGAAGATGAGAAAATATCGAGAATATTCAAAACGTTTTCATTATTATAGTATGCATCATCATCAGCAGAAATTTTAATATTTCTGCATAAATCGCACTAGTATTTCTAAAATGCCACAACTCAAAAATCGGTATATTTGAGTTGAGACTATGAAAAAAATTGGTAAATATTTCTTTATCTAAACTGTATCAAGTTGTATGAACATCGAAACTGTATCAACTTGATATAGTTTAGATGATACTGTATCAACTTGATACAGTTTATATGATCGATAAAGAAATATTTACCGATTTTTTTCATAGTCTTAACTCAAAAATATCGATTTTTGAGTTGTGTCCCTTTAGAAATACTAGTGCGAAATATCGATACAAGAAATTGGAAATCAACATTTGGAATAAGAGGCTAGAGAATCAAATCATTTCATTAGTCTCCTAATTCCTACTGGTCTTCATGAAATATATGTATATGGTCTTTATAAAATATTTTTGTATGATAATACCTTTTTCAGATTTAAATTATTAACATCTCTCAGTTTGGTGAAATACCTATAATTTCATTAGTCTCATAATTATTGCTACTGGTTTCTATGAAATAACCTTGTCTCAGATATTGATTTTCCTGGGGCTGATGCTTTTGATTTTAGTAAGTAAACTACTATATGATTATATATTACATATTTCTATCTCATGCCTTGTGTTAAATCAAATTCAGCAAGTTTTTTTCTCAAAACTATTGTAAATGATGAGACTAATTCAAAATTTCAAATATTTTCGATGAATATGTCTTTGAGAAATCTTCGATCGAAGCTTTCACAATCTATTCATTTGGAAATTCATATTCAAAACGTGCCAGGTACTTAGTGATAGTCATATATTGATTCATATATAACACAAACTAAAAACAGTTTTTTCAAAAAATTATTTACAATGCGTACTGATATGATTTGTGACTAATTCAGCACTGAGCATTTCAAACAACCTGGATTATTATATTAAGTTTGCTCCCTGAAATTGAAGTTATCATTAACGAAACATTCATTCCAAATTCAACAAAGAGAATTGATTTACCTGAAATTGTACCCTCGTTCATTCTCTTCTCTGGTGTTTTCAAGAATCCTGGGAATCTCATTACTCTTTGCGTTTTTCGAAATGACCAATAACACGATAATTATTTTGTACCTCATGTTCAGAAATCACGCAATAACTGTAAAATCATCGATTCGCATCAGTTTATAACCGGAAAAGCGATTACCCTGTCGAGGTGAACATGAATATTTTTATTTTATTTTTTGATACTACCAATAATAACACAGCCAGGAAATAAGAAGTTTCAAATTATTTTTGTTTGTTTGCGATTCTTCGATTTTATCGAAAATAATTAGTTTTGAATGACATGATCATATTAAGGCTCTGGCAAACATTTGAAGGACAAACAACATCTAAGTTCTTAATCAAAGTTGACGAAAAGAGTGTGTTTCTTTCTTCAGTTATATAACTGCGTTGATAAATGAAGATTTCATTTCGAATTCAGTTATCTGTGTTTAATCAATATCGATATAAAACGACAATGAATAATATGTCTTGATAGGAAAGAGAAAATTATAAACGAATGAAATTTCGGTTTTCATAAATTCCTCAAGTTGAGAAAATATCACTCAATATTATAAGTGCCCCGCCTTGTCTATCTATCTGAATGCAAAAACTACCGAACGGGTTTCAAACGATTTTTACCAATGAACAAAGTGATTCAAGAGAATGAGTCGTGTGTATGATCTATTGATTTTTGCGTGATATATTGGAATACTTGTGATGCACTGTTTGGAACCTTTGGAGTAATAATGAATATTACTGGTGTTTTTTCCCAACACCACTTGGTGATCGAAATACGTGTCGAGATGTTGAAATAACGGTGTGGTATTGGGAAAAAACTCCAGTAATATTCATGGTTGAAATATGTTATCCGTGGAAAATACGGGTAGTGGTGCTATTAATCCAAGCGGTGTGTTGTCCAAGGGGGTCTATTCGCGAAGGTCGGAAGGGAATGAAGTTTGGTAGGATGGTAGGCATAGGTCTCCTGATAGTACACCTGAGTTTGCGTCCTCGAGGGGTAGCCGCTCGAGGGGTGGGGGGATGAAAACTCTGCATCGCGACACTTCAAGAGGAAATTAAGCTTTGTCGTGGGTCCTATCGAAAAAAAACTCAAATAAAATATGTACAGTATGAAATGGTACAGAATTTTAAACTCTACATTTTTTTGTCTATGACCAATAGTTTCCGCTCTACGACGTGTCAAAGTTGGGGGATTGTTTCCAATGTTCAACAAAATGAGAATTTCAGCGCGGATAAAACGGAGGTCGCTATGAAACAGTTATGTTATAATTTTTTTCTGAAAGAATTATGATTTCAGATTCCAAAAGATGTTCGATTTGATACATTTGGCCCTATATGATAAATGCTATGATGTTTTGAAGCGCGCCTTTACACACTCCGATATAAACATTTTGTAATAATTATCAGAAACTGGTCAGTTGCGATGGCAAAAATGCTTGGTCATACTTTTGAGTCAGTGTAATTTAAACATAAAGACAAAGTTGTCTTACTAGGAGCCGCTAAATCTACAGTGAAGAATGAGTCGTTTCCCGTTATTATCAATTCACTTCTGTTGATTCAACGCATATGCATTGTAAAAAAAATGTGATGATGAACTAAAAAGAATACCTACAGTACGAACTTGCACCTTTACCGCTTTCAATATTCAATGAGGAAGGTATGCGCAAAGTAGCAAAATCTTCACTATACAAAGCTTATGTGCCTGTTACACCAATCATAGAAGTTGGCACTACTATACATGTTGATGAAGGTGGCTTTTTGCTCCATCGTGTGGTGTGAAGCCGTCACAATTTATTTGAAATGATTTGTGCCAAGTACATTCAAGTTATTGCAAGACATTATGGGCCAAATACAATTATTGTTTTTGATGGATATCCCAAAAGTGGGACAGAAACATGAACGAAATCTGACAAAAAAAACCGCCTCTAGAAACAGCACCACAGTATTCATATACTCTTTGGTGAATCCATGATTCCAACTGTATCGCAAAAACAATTTTTATCAAACAGCTCCAACAAAAGACGCCTCATCGCATTGCAAATTAAGTTGGAAGCACATAATTACAAGGTTACGCAGGCGATCGAAGACGCCGATTCATTAATTGTGCAGACTGCCATTGAACTTGTTCCATCTTTTTCCTCCATATTCGTTATTGCAGAAGGTTTTGATTTGCTTGTCTTGTTGACTGTTAGAGCCAGGAAGATCCCCAATCTTTATTTCCCCAAGTCGGGTAGAGGGAAAAAGCAGGATTTGTTCTATTTGCCTCAAAGTTTACAATATAGCGAAGTATGTTATTTTTGCATGCCTTCAGTGGATGTGATACTACATCGGCATTGTTAAGTCAACACCAAATACAATTCCTCAAAACTTTGGAAAAAAAAAACAATATTAACAGATGTGGTTCAGGTATTTGACCACCCTAATGCCGAATTAACAGAAGTCTTTGCCGCTGGCGAACTGTTCATGTTACGGTAGTATGGTGCATAGTAAATTGGACTCTGCGGTATACGAATTTGGTCGGGGCCGTCTCAAAAAATTCATTCAAATTATCGGCGCATGCCATCATCATTCATTAGGGCCAAATATATCAAATCGGACATCTGTAGACTCAGAAATCATAACTCTCTCAAAAAAAATATTACATAATCAATCATAATCAATACATAATCAATCAACCCCCAACTTTGACGCATCGTACAGCGGAAACTGTTGCTAGTAGACAAAATAATGTAGAGTTCAAAATTATGTACATATTTCATTTGATTTTTTTTTTCGATAGGACTCATTACAAACCTCAATTCCTTCTGAAAGCGTCACGATGCAGAGTTTTCATCTCTCCACACCTCAAGCGGCAACCCCCGAGGTCGCAAACTCAGGTGTACTATTAAGGGACCTATGTCTACCATTCCACCAAATTTCATTTCCTCCCGAACGTTTGCGGATAGAAACTACCCACCGTTGGCATGAATGGAAAAACGTTCCAGACTAGTACAAGCCATTGCAGAATGTTCAAGGATATCCTGAAATGTTATGGGAAGCTTTGGATTCATTTCGAATGTTATGAACGCTTTTGAAACTTTCAAAAGTGCAAAACTTCCAGCCCTCATATATTCAGAAGCACATCTTTCATGTTAAAATAAAAATCTTCCTCGAAGATGAGGAATAAAAAGAACCTTCTAGGATATTTTGGGATAGTTCTTGAATGTTATGGTCTGTGCTAGAACTATCTAGAAACTTCAGCCCCTTTATCTTCGAAAGCATGCATAAAAAAGAAACACTCTTCAAAGACAAACTGATGTGACACTATGAGGAAGAAATCTGTAGGCATTTATGTTCTTCTACCTGAGCGAAGCCGGTTCAGTTGGCTAGCCTTCAATAAATCAATTCAATTATCAAGTGTGAGGCAAACAATGTGTGTTTGTTATAAGTTGCATTCTTCGTTATTAAAGTGATTAAATAATCATAATTGGATATAATTTATTGTTTTGGAATGACTGAATTTTGCAGTAGATTTTTCAAGCATTATTGAAAAAAAGCATTGAGAGTTTGATGTCAATACATTCAATGCTCCTTTGAAGCTTCTTGAAACTTTTCTGATGAAACATATCTCTCTGATCACACTCCATATTTCAGTTTATAGTTGACAAAATAAAATTTCGTGTTGTTCGATGATTTTTTCCTGAATTGCCATGAATGTTAGCATACATGTTAGCAGAGCATGCTGGACTTCGCATTAGAATCTAGGTTTTGTTCCCGTTTCGAAAGCACGGGAACGACAACTCGGGCCCTGCGACCGTTATTACATCACATTTGATAATGTCCATGGCAGTAGTAAATTAAACGTCAGGCATATAATCCTGAAGACCACGGCCAAAAAATACGAAAAATAGCTTTCACACAGTTATCTCTGACCGTAAAAGTTTACATTCTTAGATGAAAGTGACGATGTTTCAAGACATTAAATTTATAAGGATGAAAACCAAATCGTTCAATTGATAAATACCTCTTAAGAGTGATTTTTTCAATAACTATTTCAATATTTGTAGATAATGTAAGGATTTTACCTACTTCTGTAGTTTGAATGAGTTGAATTTTTCAAATGGAGATTTTTTAATGCTTCGTTGTTTCTTATGATCATATTTAATGCATTTGAGAGCTGAATAGGAATGTTTCCAATTATATACGCTAATGAACTTGAATGAATGTTCCATCGATACAGAGAAAGGATATTTAAAAGTTGATTTGGTTCATATCGGTTCCTGAGGCTACATTAGAAATTAATAATGTTTCGATCACCAAGTGTTCACCTTCAAGAGGAATATCAAACTAAATCTACTTACAATGTTATCCTTATTTATACTATAGATACCTCTTCTATCTCCTACCTATCAAATAGCAAACTGACTCACTAAGGAACTTGAAGGCTTGGCTTTTGCGGAACCAGGTTTTAGTTTCAAAAACTCCTTAGAGTTCATACAATTTACAAAAAATATCGTTTTGCAAGAAAGGAGATTTTGGTTTGGTGTATGAAATAAAACCGTTTCCAGATAGAAAGTTATTTTTATGAACAACAGGAGGGAACGGCTATGGTAACCCCTTGTCTCCCTACCTGGCAAACCTGTTCATAAGCAGATTCGAAATGGAAAACAAAGAAAAGTCAAAGTATTTTCCTAGCATGGCTAAGGTATGTGGATGATGTTTTCGCAATATTCGATAACAAAAAATCGAATATTGAAGACTTTGTTTCCTTTTTAAATAACAGATTTCCACCA